ATTGGATCGCTAGTGTAATTCTGATGAGCCCTGATGGCACCTTGGTGAAAGTCCCTAACCGCTAACCAAAAGCTCAGCAGGCCAAACCAAGCAGCCCCTCTGCCAAGGAAGTAATGTAGCAGTCTGCTTTCATTCAGATCTGCAGCCTGGGAAACCCTAGGGTTTCCGTGGGCAGTTCAACTCTGTCTTACAGGGTTGCTATAAGCTGGGATAGACATAACAGCTGTGAGTTTTGTGTAGTGTAACACAAATTTCTTCGCTCTTCGGGTTTTCATACAATTTCTGTAACAAAGCAGAGATCAAGGGCTAAACTATATGTTGTATGCCTCGGGCATGGATTCAACCCAGACAGAATTGTAGAGTCTCTTTAGAAGGCCTTATTGTCTTTCTCTTTGAAGTAGTATAAAGGATTTATAACCAGAATCATAGACAGAGAACTAACACAAACAGTAACTATATATGAGCCAGTCCATGAATATTCATTCTAATCACTGTACAGTAATCAATTAGTATCACACATTGCAAGAACAATGGGAAATCTGAGGCTACAGATTGTAGAAATGAATAAATCATCATGTTTAAATGACATAACCAAAGAGAATTCATTTTCTTTTCTGGATGAAAATTCCTTTTATCTACTATAGTGGGATAAAAACATTTTAGTGCAAAAATTAGATCTGAGTGCCTGTCTCTATAAATATTGGTCAAGAAAAGTAGTACATTATTTGATTAGAGAGTTTGTTCTTCTCTAAGAACTCGCCAGTCCTGATAATTGGCCTCAACTGCCAAACTACTGACAACCTGGGCCCAGCCACGTTCACACAAAATCTCACTACCACACTCTGCTTGCTTAAGAATGAATGACAAGCAAAACAGGGAGTTCACCCGACTTCCTACTGTCTTATATAATCCAGTGAGATTCTTGAAGGATGCGGTGCTATAATAGTCCTTACAAGTGAGGAAGGTGAGACTGTCTCAAGTACTTTGCATGTGTTTTCAGGAGAGACCAATCTTTGGAGGAAGGCAATGCTGCTGGGTAAGGGAGATGGTTACCAAAAAAGAGGAAGATCTACTGCAACCTGGGTTGACGCCATGGCTGGCAACAACAATGGACTCAAGGGAACCCAACAGAACAACAATGTGAGAATGGTGCCCGACCAGGGAGTGTTTCCTTCTGTTTCACAGAGGAAGCTGTTTTACAGGATGAGTCAGAACTGACCGGACAGCTCCAGAGAGCCCCCTGACAGAACATACTGCTAATGGTAATGTTTAATGAAATCTCTAGTTAGATTCCATGTTTACTTTTCCTATATTAAGTGGTATGATGTAAAATGTCAGTGTGAGGTTTCAATTAATTGTTACCGGGAAGTAAAATGTTAATAGGGGTCAAAGTCTCCTGGAAATCAAGTATTCTAGATGTACCAAAGATGTACAATTGAGTGATGTTGTTGTGGTTGTGTGTTGATGAGCCCAGTCGACTCACGGTGATCCTAGACACAAAAAGTAAACCCTGTCCTGTCCTGCATCCCCTTCACAACAGTCATGTGAAATCAAAATTTCTGCTGATCAAAAGCTTGTAGTAAATTTGTGTGTAATAATGGATGTCAGACATTTGCTGCATCTTTCCAGAAATGTTTAAGCCAGTCGTCACTTTAGCCTTCTAAATTCCTGGCAGGCTTTAAAAAACAAGAGCGGTGATAGGGGGAAATGAGCAACTACAATGACAACCTGAGACGGGATGCTCCCCAAACTCCCATCTGTACAGGCACGGACATCCAACTCTGGAGCCAAAAGGGCTGAGTGGCAGAATATTGTTGCTTGGTACCCAAACAGGATCACTTCTGCAGAGTAATCTAATGTCACTGTCCCCTTAGCTTTTGGCAGGACCAGATAAATATGAAAGAGCATGCTTGTCCTTTCCGTTATTCTACATTTTTATTTTAAATAAGATTCTAACTGTGCTTCAGGGAAAGAGTATTTGCAAATCTAAGTCTACTCTATTTTTAAAATTAGGAGAAACAAGCTTCTTTGGAAAACTGGAAGATAGTCTTGCTTCAATTAATTCTACGTGATGTGTCTAGTCTGTTCTAGTACAACCTCCCAGTTGCGATCAGCTCTTTCTTTCATTAAATGAAAGCAGTTAATTAGCCCCAGCCTGTCCTCTCCCCTTCTCTCTTTCCCTTTTCTCAGTAGTAATGATGACTAATTACCATCAGCGGTGCATTACTGCAACATCAAGAGCAAATCTCTCTCTCTCCTTCTCTCTGACAGCAAAACGAGACACAAACCTTCAAGCCTCAAGTAGATTAAAATGATTCTTAGTGTACTTGAAAATATCATTCAAGTGCAATATTTTATTTCAACCAATATATGCTTTTGAATGAAAAGATTTACATGTATATAGTCTTCTCAGTGATTATACTCCAACAAGCATGAAGAAAAATTTATATGTTTTCAAGAGAAAGATCATTTGAAATGTGGTGAAACACATGATACAAGGGGATCTTCTATTTATTTTTTAACTCATTGCAAAGGCGATTGGCTGTCTCTCAGAGGAGGAGGAGTCTGTAACTATGTCAGAAGCAGCACAGCTATCTCATAAAGAGTCATAGAAGTGTTCATGAATTAAAAACCTCTTCAACAGAATCTCACAACATGGTTACATGAAGAGCAAAGCTCTTCAATACTATGCAGAGAGCATTATCTAATAGCACCACCTGACAGAGTCAGACATTTCCTCCCTAAACATTTGGAGTCTTTACTAGAAAGGAAAACACGTGTTACTATCTTATTCTGTTCTTGACGCTGACACGGTTACTCTACATAACGTGCCTTCACAATAACTTTAAAAATAACTACATTAATTTGACAAAAAGCTGAGCATATAAATGATGACTTAACTAACTCGTTTCCATGTGAATCTTAGTTCCTCTTGCATAAACATGAACATAAAGTCAAACATGAACATAAAGTCATTGCCATCATGTGGGTTCTGACTTGCCCCAGCCCCATCACATCTACAACTCGTAGAGAATATATGCCGGGTAGAATGTTTACTTAGTTCTAAAACAAGGACAAAGGTATTCACATATGTAGTGGATGTAGCCAGATCCATGAAAATATGAGCATCTCTTGCCAATACACAAGTGAAGCTCTCAAAGAGGTAAACAGGGGGACCTAAGCTTAACATAAGAGAAGAAATGGGGGCGGGATCTTGACTAGCAATTTTTCTTTAAAAGCTTATGTATTATTAAATTAAATTTTAACTAAGTATTTCATAAATGGTTATTTTTAACTCAATTAGTCCAGTATTAACCAAAGGTAAATACCTTCTTATGGTTCAGATTCTCATTTAATCTCTCTAGAAATATATATATATATATATATTTAAATGACATGCTTAATATTAATCCCAATACAAATGAATCAAAGCACTTCACTATCTACAACCTCAGTCTTAATCCAAGCCTACTTCGTCCTTAGTATTTAATAGAGGGAGCCAGCCACTTCCCATTGTCTTTAGCCCTGCTAAAGACAGCTTAGAGAGGAAGGCTGCATGTATGCATCAACCTAAAAACCTCCCAACAATAGTGCACCTTGGAAAAACAGCACAACTTTCATGCAAGTTTCTATTTCGCCCTTATTACTATGTCCCACCTTTCATATAGATGAAACATTCTTGCTTAAAGCCACTGTCCCTATAATGTATCCAGGGACACCACAGGAGGCTGTTTTCCAAACCTAAAAGAGTCCCCCAGATAGTCTTGGGAAAAGCCTTTCATGCACATATTTCCAATATAAGATACTTCCGTTAGATATACAAGAAGAGTTTTCAAGGCGTCTCCAGTCTAACATGCTTCAGGATATTGCACTGGGAACCAGTTGCCAGTAAGGGAGGATGGAAGAAGGAAGAAATGTTCCAGAAACCCCTAAGGGAGGCAAAGATGCAAAAGATGCCAGGCGCCCTCCCCAATCCCTCCTTGTAGGCTAGAGTACCCACCGGCTTAGTAA